AAAAAAGGAAGGCAAATATTTTAACAATTCTGAAAACATTTTAATTGGGTCTGTTGATAGCTGATGAACATATAAGAACATATGTATATATACATTTGTATGGATGATATAATACTCTGATCCAATACTTTTCGTGTAAAATCCTGTTAAAACGTCAAACATTAAAATTACTCTATGAAGTGAGAGCAAAAAGTGAGTAACAGCAAAAAGTACGGGAACAAAAAAAGCAGCGAGTAAAATCTTGCAACTTCATTTTCTACACAACTCTCCAAAAATTGCTCTCAGTACAGGATTTTGGAGTACGCGATCTTTTTCCCGTAACTTAAGGAATGTATATATCGAAGTTTTCCCAAGCGTTTTATTAAAAACATTAAAATATAAAACTTCAAAACGTATTAAAAAATTTAATATGAGTCACATTAAAATCTGATTTCAAATTCCTTGTAGTCCAAACGGTTATGTATTATAGAGTTCCGCAATAAACATTTCTCAATTTTGCAACCAGGGGAGCCTTCTTTGGAAAGCCAGCTTGTCCTATAAAAAAAATATGTTGGTACGATGTATTTAAAAATATTTCCAAGTAAAACTTACATTTTATCAATTTCCTCTTTCGGGCCCTGCATTTTCCCTACTATAGTTCCTTGTTTGGAGTTTTTAACCCATCCTTTGATTCCGGCCTTATTGCAGAGATCTCTCGTATATTTAGTAAAGTAGCAGCCTAATAAAAAGCATATATGTAGATAATATTAGTGTTTTTGGAGACAAATTTTATTTTATATGTATACATATGTTATTTGCACAAAGCGTGTATGCTGGCAAATGCATTTTTGTGGAACTATTACACTTTTTTTTTTGCTGGTGAGAATTAAAAACTACATTACTACAAGTAATTTCTATTCAAAAAAAGAAGCTGACTTCAATTCTCATTTACAAATTTAAGATTATGGTTAATTTCTTCATGGTCCAAATTAGTATGGGACCACCTGTGAGGTAACACAGGTTTTATAAAAAGAATTATAGAAATCGGTTAACGTGGTCCAAAGTTATGTGGTAACATACATAAAAAAATATATATATATATTCCGACGAATTGTTAACCTTCTCCTTTTTGTGACGCCTGTTAAAAAGACTAGTAATTCTATATTATCAACACTTTAAAATTTTTCTTTCTTTTGTGAATGGTGGAAGTTACTACAAAACAGCAGTTTGAGGTGTTAATACAAATGGAGCTGAATTTTTAAAGAAATATCAGATTTGTATGAAATTTGAAATCCAAGCCTGATTGCAAAACTTTAATCAGTTATCAAAAATTCAAAATGGCGGATCCAATAAAGATTCGAACGCCTCTTTTTAATTTTTGAAATCTGATTTTAGTTTTGTAATCAGCCACTCGAAAAACCTCTGGATATAAAATTTCATAAAAATCTGAATTTTTTTTAAATCCATCCTCCATTTTGCATTCGCCATTTAAAATTTTTAAGAACTGACACTGACTTCAGATTCGTAATGAGCAAAAACAAAAACCATTGGATACACCCAGAAAAAGTTTAGTTATAATAACCAAGATAAGACTAGATAAATATCTAGTTGGTGAAAGTCTGAAAATTACTTGAGATCAGAGATGCCCAACAAACTATATGAATCGATTTCGTTTCGTTAGCGAGGAAAAAAAACGTATCAAAATAATTTCGTTACGTTTCGGAGCTAAATTAACGAAACAAAACTCAATCGTTAACGTTCAAACGAAATAAATCAACGCATAGTTTTCATTTTAATCTGTGTTGGCAATACCTAAGCGACACGCATTGCTCTCGTATTTAATATCTACAAACAAAGGCGAACGAAGTTAGCGTACTTGAAATTTGAAAAATAATTATAAAAAGTCAACAACTTAACCCCAAAATGAGAAGGAAAAAGGAAAGTTTTATCCGGAATTTGTATAAACAAAATACAGATGCCACGATGGCTTGTAAAATATGTGGAAAGTGCTTAACCACTGACCACCTCGGAAACCTCAAATCGCATCTTCAACGAAGGCATATTTGACGGTTACAAAGGCGATGAGCAAAAAATCAGTGAATTTGCGAGTGTAAAACAAAAAATTTTATTGAAAATGTGTCAGAACGACGTTAAAAATTTGTGTGCTGCCTTCATCACTGAGTGCGGTCTCCCTTTGCAAGTTTTTAACAGCAGCGCTTTTCAAACATTATTAGGTCCTATCTGCGAACAAGTGAATTTAAACAAAATTAACAGAAATAATATAAGTCATATTTTACAAAAAAAAAAATGGAAATAGAAATACAGTACTTACGGAATTTTTTCAAAAATAAAATATTTTCAATAAAAATAGACAGCGAAGGGAAAATTACAGTCAAGACTCTAGCCGTAAAAAATTTCAAAGAGCAGCACACGGCGGATAATTTAAAGCAATTAATTTTGGAGACATTGGAAAGGTAAGTGCACAAAAAATGGTCTGAGTTCCTGCGATTTATATTATTAAAGTTATTTGTTATCCTTTATATGTAGATATGAAATTAATATTGAGCAAATATACAGTATCACCAGCGACAACGGTCGAAATATGGTTAAGTGTGGTTCCCTTTTACAAGTCGATAATGAAAATGAAGAAAGTACAAATATATTAGATTTTGACTCTGATGATGACGAAGGCGATAATATTGATGTAACGTGCGATACCATTTTTGATGATCCAAAGTTCGACGATTGTATGACCTCTCACTTCAGTAAGTCCAAGTAATCAATTACCTCTCAATACCATGATAAAACTACTATGAGGTAGAACCATGACAAATAAAATAATTTTAAAATTCATTTTTTTATCATGCCCAATACGTTATACCGTGCGGCACTCCAAAATACATGGGAAGTGATGTTATTTTTTGTTGTAGGTCTTGTCGAAT